CCCCGGCGCGTATACCACCTTCGTGTACAGCGCCTATGGCGACAGCAACCTCGTGACCGGCTACGACACGATCTCCGGTTTCAAGACCGGCCTGGACAAGATCGACGTCTCCGCACTCGGCCTGTCCGCCGCCAACGTGCTGATCGAATCGGATGCCACGAGCACGGTGCTCTATTTCGAGATGACGCCGGGAACCTTCAACGCGGCAACCGATCTCGCGATCTCCTTCGCCGGCGCCAATGCCCTCGCCGTCTCTGACATCACCTTTGCATCGAGCACCCCGAACGGCTGGTCGTTCTACGACTACAACAGCTTCTACGGCACCGGCTATCCTGTGCCGAACCTCATGCCGACCGGAACGACGGCCTTCGACGGCATCATCAATGTCGGTCTTGTGCTCGAGCGCGCCCACGATCCGACCAGCTTGCTGCAAGCCGATTGGGGCACGCGCCAGAAGCTGCTGGCCGCGGCAGGGGACAATCCGCTCGACCACTATGGCGCCAGCGAGGGCTCCTACAGCAACCTGCTCACCGCGCTGGGCAGCCTCGGCATCGAACTCTCCGCCAACTCGTCCTACGAATCTTCGGCTCAATCGCGTACCGCCTGGGTGAGCCTGACGGCAATGGAGTTCAATTCCCTGTTCGGCCAGACACTGATGTTACAGGACGGTACGACCTCGAATATCTTCTGGAACGGCAATCTCGTCCTCAATCCGGTTGTAGCGTCGTTGGGAACCGTGAAAGGGCTGTCGTTCGATATCGATAACAGCGGCAATTACATGGCTCCGATCGGCTCGTCTGCCGGTCTCCTTCCCAATGGCAGCAGCGCTGGAAGCGGCAGCGTCCTCTCCCCGGGCCCCCAGCAGCCGGGCAACGATACAGGCGATACCGGCAACATTGCCGCAGTGCCGGTCCAGAACACACCTCAAGCCATTGCCCAGCTCTACAATTTCCCCTTCGCCAACCTCGCGAATGCGCCCCCGACGGGCGCGATCGCGCTGATCGAACCCGGAATGGGCAACTATGTTTCTGGCGACGGCGACATGGAAACGCTGCTGGGCAACTATCGCAGCGCGATCGGCCTGGCTCCGGATGTCACGATCTACGGGCAACAGCCTGCCACCATATATGAGACCGACACGTCGGAACGCGCGCTGGATATCGGTGTTGCAACGGCGGTCAACCCGAACAGTGCCTTGAGGCTCTATGCCGGTTCGGGAGTCTCGGATAATTCCGGCGCCTCGACCTATACCGCCTACCAATCGGCTTTCCTCGACCCTCTCCACGCGTCGGTGGTTTCGTCTTCGTTCAGGTTCACGTCATCACAGGCCGGCGCCGATTCGCCTTTCCTGTGGGC